TCCCAACCTTTCTGTGAGACGGATTTCAAGTCCATGCCTTAGAGTTAGATCATTGGGGTGTGTCTTAGAGAGAGTGGATAAGCCGGGGTTGAAGCCCAGGGTCCAGCCTCCACAGCCAGCATTCTGCTGGAACCCTGCCTCTGACACACCCTTGCCCTTCTGAGTGTCCCTCTCCTGCAGCCTCCAGCTCACTCTCCCATAGAATTGTCTCCCACTAGTGTCTGCCCCTCGCCTCCAAGGCGGGCGGACTCTCCTCCTGGTCTTAGGCTTCTCCCTGGTATTAGCACATGGCTTGCCGTGGAGTGATGACTTTCTAGAAATGTGACAATGAATGAGTGCGGTGTAGAGATGGTGGGACCTGGGGACATCCGTGCAGCATCGCTCGGCCTCCAGTCCCTCCTCTGTCACGTGATTGGATCAACTCCTGCCTCGTAGAGCTGCGTGTGGGAATAAACTGAAGTCATGTTCGTGACGTGCTTGTGGTAAGGCTGGGCACATTGTTGCTGTTATAACTGGCACAGCTGCTGGGTCACTACTGGTTGCTCAATAGAGACTGGCACACAGGAAGAGGACAGCTGATACCGTGGAGGGAGGACAGGAGTGCAGGAAGGGAAGTAAAGAGGAAGGAGGGAAGTTCTTTTTAACAAAGTATTTATTTAATGGATGAAGGAATGGCTGATGCCTGTTATAAACATGAACTGTCCAGTCTGTTTGTCTCTTCCTAAACTGCCAGATTTAGCAAATAAAAATACAAGATGCTCAGTTAAATTTGAATGAGATAGACAAGAATACATCTTTTTCAGATATAAGAAAGATCGATGCAATATTTGGGACAGACGTAGACTGAAAACATATTTGTTGTTTATCTGAAATGCAAATTTAATTGGATGTCTTTCTTATATTTTATCCAGTAACCTTAGGCGCTTCTCACCCTACATGCATGCTTCTCTCAAGCAGTTCATGACAAAGGTGGCAGCTCTTTGGACTAGAATGCGTTCACACCGAGTTTAAGGGTAGGTGTGCTGTTCAACTTGTGCACTCTATTACGCAGTAATGACTGTAATTTCAAGTCCTTATGCATTTTAGACTCATTGATTTGCTCTCTGTTTAATTTCTATTATTCAAGAGCCTGTGGCTTTTAAAGATATATATGAACACATATCGAAATTGTTTTAGATTACTTACATCCTAACACGGAGATGCACATTTAATATTTCCAAATGAATTTTTAATGAAAAGTCACATTTACTATTTGGTGTAGCATTTTGCAGGAGTTAAGATACATCCAAGAAAAGGAAGAAAATTCAGGTCAAAATCTGCATCTTTCAGAAAGCATAAATATGGGAGAGTTCCCAAATTTTCCATAAAATCTTGACTATGCTATTTCTTTCTTTCTTTCTTTATTTTTTTAGGTTTTTGCCATAGGGTGTATGTGCTCTCCAGAGAGAGACAGAGGGAGAGAAAGTGTGAAATCAACCCCCCCTCCATGGGAGATGGCCACGCTGCAGTCCCTTTTCCTCTTGGGATTTTGGGCATGCATGCACGTGTGCCTGGCATGATCCTCAAGCTGCTGGGTTCAGGACTTGAACTGCAGTTAGCCACGTGGGAGTCCAACACCTTAACCACCATGCCACCTACTGGTCCCTTGACTATGCTTTCTAAAGCACCACGTCATTTTGCAGGATTTGTGCCATTGCACATACCAGCCAAGACTAGAGTTCCAGATAACAGTGATGTCATTTCGTGAATATTGAGGACAGAAGTCTGACTGCTTTTTCCTTTTTCTAGAATCCCTCCCAGAGGACCTGGAGTGAGTCATGCCCCCAGACTTTAACAGACCATTTTAGCCCATTTGATAACAAAAATCTTCCTACATCCTGTCCCTGGCACAGTATCCCTGTAATGGTGAGTCACACCCACAATCACTAACAGACCATTTTGATTCATTGATAACAGGACTCTTCCAACATTCTGTCCTTGGGACAGTATTGTGATTGCATACAAGCCCCCTTATCTCTGCTACAGTACATTCTGTTATCTTTTTTTTTTAATTTTATATATTCATTCATTTATTTTATTTTGCCAGACACACACACACACACACACAGAGAGAGAGAGAGAGAGAGAGAGAGAGAGTGTTAGAAAGCAAGCCACCAGGTCCAGGACTCGAACCATGGTGGATCATGAGGGAGTGCCCAGCACCTTAACTATCACGCCACCCACTGGTCCCAAAGTACAGTCTTTACTAATTCCTTCCCCAAATCTACAAGCCCCGCTTCCACATGTCCCGCCTTTTTGGGCCAGGCCAATGGAAAGCTCTTCATTAAATTCTCTCACTCTTAAAATCAAATAAAAGGAACTCCTGTACCTGGTCACCGAGAGAGAGGGGAATGTTTTGCCTCCTCTCCAGGCCTAGGTCACTCCAACTTGTGCTTAAAAAAACCACATTAATTATTTTTGCAGAGTCGGTTATTTCCATCGACAGGATTTAGAAACGCAATGCACCTAATTACGAGCGGTGGGCAAGGTATTGCTTACATATGGTTCCAAAAGAGGACCCAGAAGGTGGAGGCATTTTTTCCTAGGAGACAAAGCATCAAGAAGCCACCTTTGTACAGATGGGGCAACTGCTTCGGCAGATGGAAATACTCCCAGTACCATGGTGCACGCTGTACCCGGCACTGCACCATCTCTTCTATAAACACAACACACACACATTCCCGCAGCTTGGAATGAGTCCCAAACACTCCTCTCAAAACCACAGCATGATGGTGACTATATACGAATGGAGGCCTGGTTTCATTGAATGGTAACACTGTGATACGGTGCTTCAAAGATCCAGATGAGAAATGCCGACTCTGCATAACTGCAGAGAGATGTGAAAAGAGCTATCTTATCTATGTACTCATCAGAGTTTTAAGTACTTTTGTGTATGGTTTCCCCAATTATTGGTTTCCCTTTGTTTCCCTAGGAGAGAGAGCACACGTTTTGGGATGGAGGCAAACTCTTTCTCCTCCCCTCTCCCTATTTACATAGCACCGTGTTTTGACAGTGATATTAATTTTTAAAAAAGGATTACAAACCTAACAGGTGGAAAATTGGTCTTTATTATAGCACAAATAAACATTTCCTATTTGTCCTTTCACCATGGTTTAGACCCACCGCTATTGAATTTGAAACATTTTTCTTCTCTCTAGGTATTCTGTGTATGTCCACCTTTGTTTTTTTTTTTAAAGGACCAGAAAAGCATAATAACAAGTTACATAAAATTTAAAATGCTATATAGCAAATAAATAGTTGCAGAGCCTTAAACTCACGTGTGAATTCAATAGATGCATTTTGGCTTTTCTTTCAATAGCGCGAGCTGAGCAAATCATGCTTGAAAAGCAAGAGATGAATTTGGCAGTAACACATTTAATTATCATGATAAAAACATGCAAACAAAAAGTCTTCTTTTGGGCCCAGATAGCCACTAGAGTGATAGGAGGGGTCCCCCTTATCAGAAGCTGAGATCTTCTCACTTAGGGAAGAATCCCATTCCACAGAGTCTAACCCTTTATTTCATTTTGGCCACCGTTGTACTCGGTAAATCTCTCCACCTGGTGCCAGGTGAGCCCAAAGCCCTGCTACACAATGCTCCTTTCCACCGGGGACTCTCCTGGTAGCCATCGCTTTGTAGCTTGAGCTGAAAGTTTTGCATTTAAACCTAAATGTTCTCATGATAGGGATGGCAAGGGCTCATATGTTAAGCAATTAGTAATTTTTGAGTCTTCTTGTGAATGAATTACTTAAGAGCTAGTTAGTTGATTGAGAGTGAATTTGTAACCTGGATGACGTAACTGGACTGCAGAAGGTGTAGCTCAGGTTGGGTCCCCACCTCAGGTGTGGCCCACAGTGGAGGACAGCCTGGTAAGGGGGAGGGTCTCTATGATGCTAGAGGGGAGGGAAAAAGAAATAGAGAAAATCCAGAGAAGAATAAGATTTAAGACCCAGCCTTGCTTCGGCTCAGTATTGGCAAACAGCTGGTGTTGCCTACCTGCCCAGGCATTTGCTCTGGGTCTCTGTCCTCTTTCTTGGAGGTAGCATACCTGGTCTGAGCATCAGTGACTATACAAGGCACAGAACTTCTGTGATACATGATGTAAATGCTCTCACAGCTGTGGGATTCCGTGCGCATCGGCAGTAGGTATGCAGAAAGCCATTGGTTTCTTTATGTAAAATAAAATCTCAAGGGCATGCCTTGCATCTGTCCTCGTTAAAAATGGTCTCTGATTTGTCCTAAAGAAAACCAAAAGATCAGAGAAGAAAACAAGCTTCTCCTCTTTTCATCTCAATGTTCTGCAGAGAAGAAGATTTTTCTACTGTCCCCTTAAGGGCCTATGCTCTTTTGTAAGAAACTGAATATTGGAAATAAACACAGGGAAGGGAGCGGAAGGTAGCAATTGCTAAAAGTAAGCTGCAAAAAAGCATTAATTACAAGTAACAATAATAAAGACAGCTTGAAGCTATTTGTGAGCTGATTAAGAAATCTGTATAGTGACTGCTCCTAGCAATTCTCCAATCTTTATTCTGTGGCTCACCTATCTATCAGTTTACAGGTCATGAGCCCTGCTATGGGCAGGTGAGGCCCGGAAATAGAATCGCAAGAGAAGTTAGTACTTATGAATTAAAATAGAGTGGCCTTGGCTGGGCCCTGGAGGTTGGGCCTTAGGTAACTCAGGAGATCCTATATCAGGAAGGCCTAGGAGAAGCAGTAATCTGAACTTCATCTCTCTAAATCCATTTTTTTTTTTTCTATTCCCCAACTCTAAACTGGAGGACTTGAGAGAATGGGCGGGCCTTAGTTATCATGTTCTGGTCTTTTGTATACATAAGTTCTACTCCAGCAAGCTACTGTTCTGCTTGGCATTGGGAGATGCTGGCTGCCTCTAAGCAGGCCCATCTCCCTCGACACAGCTCCTCAGAGGCTGCCGTCGCATTGCCTGGGAGCAAACCCATACCTGCAGAGCTATTCTTCATCCACGTCTGTTACAAACTGTGAATGGTGTTCGGGTGACTTGCTGTGCGTTTTGCTTAGGTGGAGTTTTACCGCATGTTTGCTCACAAATGTCCGACAGCACAACTTACACTTGAATTTAGAGTCTGTGTCCTCTTCGCCAGCTATTGTTTCCGGAGACCTCTGAGCCGACGACACCCGGGAGATCTCTTGCTCCACCTTGCTTTGCTGGTCGACGGCCATGCGGGTCATGTCCTTCATTTGGAAACCCAGGTGAGATTCCAAGTGACTGATGTAGGTCGAAGGGGTTCGGAACTGGGACGCACAGTCACTGCAATAAAAGATGGGGTGGCCCTTGTCCATGTTTTTCAGAAACTTTGTCCCGCCCGTTTTCCTGAGCTGGTACTTGACATTGGCCAGCCAGTGGCTGATCGTGGTCATGGACAGTCCAGTGAACTTGGAGATCTGCATCCGCTCTTGGGGGCCCAGATCCGACAGCAGGTATTTGCCCTCTGATGTCTGGAAGAGGCTCGAGGCGAACTGAGCTTGCAAAATCAGGAGGTGCTGAGGGTTCCAGTTGGACTGTCGGCCTTTTCTTTTATGCAAAGTCGAGACTTCACTGGAGACATCCTCAAAACGCCTGACATCCATCTCTAGCTTCATAGGGGGGACCCTCGAGGATGCGGCAGGCTTTGGGGTGGTTGCTTTGGGGAGGACTTTGACCATGTCGGCGATGTCGGACAGAGCGTGCTTCTGAGGTGGGGACGTGCAGGATTGTGCTTGCGAGGACTCGGCTCTCTTGCTTTTGGACTTGGTCAGGTCGATGGGCTGATCATTGTTCTCAAACAGGTAGCGTCTGGACACGCTGGCCGGCCTCGCGGAGGCGGGACTCAACACCGGCTTGTCCATGACACTGAGACTGGACTTGTGAAACATAGACATTGTGCTTGAGCTTGGGCTGGAGCAGGCGGGTGAGCGCAAGGGTTCTGTGGCTTTGCCCAGGTGATTGTTCAGGACGGACTGCAGGGCGCTGAGTGGGTTGACGCATGGCAGGGCCGGAGTGTGGTTGCCCAGAGCACAGCCATTGCTGAGTGAAGACCCTGGCTCCGAGGGTGGGGGTTTCTCCTTCTCACCACCCTCTTTCATTTGCTTATCCTCCTCCTTCAGAGAACACGGCTCAGCCTTTTTGGATTCAGAAGACGCTTCGCTTTTGGAGAAAGAATCCCCGTCATTGTGGCCGAAAGACGGGGCCTCTCTGTGGGGACTTTCTTTTCCACACTCTTT